CCCAATTTGGAGTCTTTCACAAACTTGCCAAGAGAACACTCTGTCCCATCCATCTGCCTGAAGAGACACCACAAGCTGTTGCTGGCTGACAGCTGGACTTGGCACTACTGACTGCATCTCCAAGCCCAACAGACCAGCTATTTCCCTACTCATTTTAGGGCCACTTTATCTAGTCCGTACCTCCCCAGTTTGGTGATAACGAGCTGGCTCTGAGGTCTTACTGACATCAGAGTATACTATACTCCCTGTCCACAGCATTTATTAGATCCGCCACTTCTTTGCCCTTAGAAAGAAAGGCCTTGCTGCACCAGCTGCTCCAAATCCTTTCCTTGCCCTTTGCATGTTTAGAAAGTGCTTTTGAGATAACTTGCTTCATAGCCTCCACAGGGACTGAAGTTATGGTGACTGGCCTGTAGGTACTTGGATACAGTCACCTACTAGCCCTCTCTAAGGATGTATGTGACATTTGCCTTTTCCCAGTTACCGTGAACCTCTCCAGTTGCCATGGCCTTTTGAAGACAGCAGACAGCAGCTCTGCAATGACACTGGCCACCTCCTCCAGCACCCTTGTATGTAACCCATCTTGTCCGACAGACTTACACGTGTCTAATTGCTGAACCGATTCCTAATTCCATCTTCTTCTACTGTGGTTACTATTTCAAGCCAGGGACCCATGAACCCCAAAGGTTAGGCCCTACCAGTCAAAACTGAGGCAAAAAAAAAGCGTTGAGCATCTCCATCTTTTCCATGTCCCTTGTCACTAGATCCCCATCCCCACCAATCAACACATGCTCTTACTTTTGCTAATGACACACTTAACAGAAAGTTCTTATTTGCTCTTCAGCGCTCTTTGCAGCCTCAGCTCCAGCTGAACTTTGGCCTACTTCATCATGTTCCCAATACATAATCCATATACATAATAAAATACCATATAGCCTCTCCCTCCTTCCGCCTTCTGTACATTTCCTTTCTTTGTGTGAGCTCAGTCACAATCTCCACATTCATCCATAAATAAGTGGTTGGAGAGTTGCAGCCAGAGTGTTTTTCAACAAATCTATGTTCAGGTGGAGGCAAGTGCCAAGTCATGTCCCTCAGGGGTCCATCTTGGGAGCAGGAGTTTTCAACAAATTTATCAAAAACACAGGTAGTAGAATCGAGCAGTATGCCCTCAGTAGGCTTGCTGATGACACCAAGATAAGTGATGCAGTTGACACAACAGAAGGAATGGATGAGATTCAATGGGAGCTGGACAAGCTTAAAAAGTGGTCCCACGTGAAAACTGAATGAGGTTCAACAAGGTCAAGTGAAAGGTGCTGCACCTGAGCTGGGGCAATCCCAGACGCGTTCAGGAAAAGTCACTGGGAGCAGCCCCACAGAGAAGGGCTTGGAATTCCTGTTGAACATATGCCAGCAGTGTGCGGTCACAGGCCAGAAGGCTCACTGTATCCTGGACTGCAGCAAAATAGGAGGGCTAACAGGACAAGGGAGGAAATTGTCCTCCCCCTACTCTGCCCTTTGAAAGTCCATCTGGAATACCACACACATTGCTGGGGCCTCCAGCACAAGATGTGGAGCTGTTGGAGTGGGACCAGAGGAGGACCACAAAGATGATCAGAGCAGTGGAGCTCCAGTGAACAAAGGCTGAGGCAGCTGGACTTGTTCAGCCTGAGGAAAAGACAACTCTAGGGAAGATCTCATTGCAGCCTTCTAATACTTAGAGGGAGCTCATAAAAAGGAGGGAGACTGATTTTTTAGATGGTCTTACAGTAATAGGACAAGAGCAAATGGTTTTAAACTAAAAGAGGGGACATTTAAACTAGATACTGGGAGGAAGTTCTCTACTCAGAGACCAGTAAGGCACTGGAACACACTGCTCAGCAAAGCTGTAAATGCCAATCCCCTGACATGTTCAAAGTCAGGTTCATCTGCTCCCCAGGCAATATGATCAAGTGAGTAGTAACTGTCCAATGCAAGAGGTTTTGGAATTAGATGATCTTTGAGACCCCTTCCCACCTAAGACATTCTATAATTCTGTGTTATTAACTAATTCTTCTTTCTGGTTGTGCACTGCATATTCAACTGAGCATCTCCACAAATGGTTGATCACTGTCTCGATTTTTTTTTTTTTTTTTTTTCCATTTTAGAATAAGTCTTTTAGATTGCCTACTCCCAGATATTTTGTCATGGCTGATAACAACTTTGAATGCCAAGGCATAGGCTTGTGAGGTTTTCTGCAGCTGCCTAAAGAGAAAGCTTTGTCTTTCTCCTCTGCTCGATCAGTAGGTCTGTAGTTCACACCTACTACAACATCACCTGTGTTGGTCTGTTCTCTTCACACACAAGCACTCTACTCATTTGTCATCTGACCTAAGCCAGATCCCCATGCAGTCAGGCTACGGCTTCATATTGAGCACAAGTCCTCTTCCCCTTTTTCCCAACCATCTTTTCTGAAGATCCTCCATTCATCCTTCATAACACTCTAGTCAGAAGAGCTTCCACTATGCTTCCAGAACTCCAATGACATCACAGTTCTGCAACTGTGGGAACTTATAATTTGTCCTGCTTGCTCTCCATGCTAGGTGCTTTCCTGCACAGGTATCTGAGACATATCACAAGTTCTGCTTCATTTACAGAACAGTGAGACCATCCTCTGTCAAGTTTATTACTCAGGCACACCTGTTCTGACTCTTACGGCTTTGCTTCTTCAGGTTATGGTAACTCTACAGTTTAACACTCTCCTCAGTAGATGCATCTCCGCTGCCTGCAAGTAGCTATTAGTCTTTTCACCTTTTTGCAAGCACTAAATTCAGGATCAGCTGACACTGACAGGTATTGTTCACCCTCACCACTGTTCAGGGCATCATAACTACTCCGAAACTGGAAATCTGGAGGTGCAGCAAATCCACAAGATTCTAAGAAGTCACAAGCCTTTGCCATCTTTACAGTCTCTCTCCATTTGCCTCAGTTTCCAAATGGAGACCAGAGGTGAGCGGTGTTCTTCAGCGATTAGTGCTGGAACCAGTGCTATTTAATATCTTTATGGGCAACATGGGCATAGGGATCATGTACACCCTCAGCAAGTTTGCTGAGCACATCAAGCTGAGTGGTGCGGTTGACTTCTTAGAGGGAAGGGATGCCATCCAGAAGAACCTGAACAGACTGGAGAGGTGTGACCATGCCAACCTCATGAAGTTCAACAAGAACGAGTGCAAGGTCTTGCACCTGAGTTAGAGCAATCCCAACCACAAATATGCACTGGGTGGAGAATGACTTGAGAGCAGCTCTGAGGAGAAAGATTTGGGGGTGTTAGTTGATGAAAGATTCTACATGAGCCAGCAATGTGCATATGCAGCCCAGAAGGCTAACTGTATCCTCGGTTGCACCAAAAGAAGTGTAACCAACAGGTTAAGGGAGGTGATTCTGTCCCTCTACTCTCCTCTCTGGAGTAGTGTCCAGTTCTGAGGTCCACAAGACATCAGGCTGTTGGAGTGAGTCTAGAGGAGGGCTACAAACATGATCAGAGGGCTGGAGCTGCTCCCCTACAGGGACAGGGTGAGAGAATTGGTGGTCTTAAGCCTGAACAAAAGAAGGCTCCAGGGGGACCTTACTAACAACCTTTTAGTACCTGAAGGGGGCTACAGGAAAGCCAGTGAGAAACCTTCTATAAGGGCACGTTGCAACAGGACAAGGAGAAATGGCTTCAAACTGGATGAGGGTATATATAGACTAGATATTAAGAAGAAGCTCTTTACTGTGAGTGGTGAGACACTGGGACAGGTTGCCCAGAGATCCTGTGGATGCCCCCTTCCTGAAGGTGTTCAAGGTCATCCTGGGTGGAGCTTTGAGCAATCCAGTCTTGTGGGAGACGTCCCTGCCTGTAGCAGGGGAGGTTGGAACTAGATGATCTTAAAGGTCTCTTCCAGCCTAAACCATTCTATGACTTCAGTACCCAAGTGCTGAAATGCAGAAAACAAAGGAGTCAGAAGTGCATATTCATTTAGGCCTCACCATTCAGAGGAAATAAATATGCACAATTCAGAGGAGAACCCCTTGAAAGAAAAACAAGTTATTTTGATGAATTAAAACGACCCAAGGAGAAAAAGAAGGTCCATCATTAAGTATCAAAACTACCCCTTATTTCAAATGGAGCACAAGAGCAATAGGATGAAGTCCTGTAGAAACCTAACAAACTATACAACTCAAAAGGGATTTCTCCACTTGACATTTTCACTGCTCATTTGTGCAAAACCAGTTTCAGGAAAGATTATTCGCTGACTAAACTCAGGGAGACAACTAACTTTGAGCAGCTGAACTAGACTGAAAGGACTATTCAAGACCATAGTGAACAATCCAATATCTACTGAATCAAGTACAAAGTAAAAGCTTGTCCAACCTGAACATTTAGAAGGATAACCAAACCTATGTACATCAGGTTTAAAACTTATTTTATTAATGTTAGTAGACTTATCAAAGTTTACATGCCAAAAAGAAAAAGACAACAAAACAAACAGAGAGCAAAGAAACCAAAGACTAGACCAAATGATAATTATTTCTGGATTTCTGGTTTTCTGGGATTAATGTGGTTGACTTTAAGGTCGTTTTTGTTTTGTTTTGTTTTTACTTAATTTTTCTTGGTATTTCACCATCAACTACCATCAACGTAGAACTGTTTAAAGAGGTTCTGAATTTACTTTTTTATTTGGATACAGCACTCCTCATAAACATCTGTGTTTCAACCAGAGTAGAGCTCTCCTTGATTTTTTCTGATCACCACGTGGTACTACAACTCCCAGCAGAAGCAATGACAGTGCCATACACACCACAGCACAATAATCACGCACTGCATAATCTTTGTTTTCACTCTGCTCAGTACAGCTGTTGCCCCCCGGCTCAGAGACACACTGACTTGGATTTGGACTGCAGAGGGAAGCAGGTGAGTATAAAGCTAGGATAGAACAAAAGACAGCTAAAATAATCCATCCATTAGAACAGTAACATACCGTTACTCCAGATATAATTGGTGCTTTTCCTTCAATTAGTTTATATATTTCTTGAATTGCTTCCTCATCACTTTTTTCTTTAAATCGCTTCTTGGAGAGTTCCTGAAGAGCTTCTTTAAATTGTTCAAAACTAATAGTTCTAGAAGACTTTCCCCTGCCAAAACATACAGAAATTTAAAGAAATTATAAGAGAACACAACAAACACCCCAAGAATAACAGAATACTCTTAGTTTACCACAGGGAATGAGAGAAAACCTAGCAGAAAAGAAAGAGCCATTTGCACCATTTCTCAGCTCACTAAAACATCACTTTCTTTTTTATAAACATCAGTAGGATAACACTGAAATAATCCCACAGGTGTCGGTTCAGAAATAAAGAGGAACTAGAGGAAAGACTAGCAAGCTATCAGAACGTCTGTAGCTTAAAGCAAGACACTGATTGTCTGTAGATCTGTATCCATTCCATACCCATATCCAAATCCAAAAAAAGAACAGAAGCATCTTTGGTGAGTTTTGTTTTTGTTTTTTTTAATTCCTTAGCTGTCAAGAGGATGGGACCAGCTCTTTTCAGTGGTGCCCAGCAACAGGACAAGGGGCAATGGGCACAAACTAGAACACATGATGCTCCATCTGAACACAAGGTATTAATATAATACCTTTAATTATGTAAACTTCTTTATGTTGAGGGTGATAAACCACTGGAACAAACTCCCCAGACAGGTTGTGAAGCTTCCCTTGGAGAGGCTCAGAACTTGCCTGGATGCTTTCCTATGCAGCCTACTGTAGGGAATCTGCTTTAGCAGGGAGGTTGGACTAGATGATCTCCAGAGGACCCTTCTAACCCCTATGATTCTGTGATTCTTTGAATAACAGTTCATGTCACTTTATTCACAGGTTCAATGTGTTCACAATTAAATTTAAAATTGCAATTGGTGTTACCCATGCTAGTGTACCATTAGAAAGCTTAAAAATCCTCTTTTATCAGAGACAAATTGTGTAGTGATTAATTTACATACAGTCCTTGTTTGCCTTCTTACCATCACCTTTGTAAAACATTCACATTCATGGAAAAAAAATACAACAGTCTTACAAAGCCCCCAGAAATTCAGAGCTGAAGATTTCCTGTTGTATTCACCAATGGGAAGCCCATATTCCCACACTAGTAAGTATTTGCTTAGGTTTTGTTCCAAAGGAAAGGATTTTGCTAAAACAACTTCTCCTATTTAGTAAATTACAGACTCCCTGATCTTCAAATGAATTTACACATTAAAATTTATGCATTAGTTTTAAGCTAAAATTCAGCAGGTCAAATAGAAAAATTTCCAAAAAGATGTTTTGACTGACACTAAAAATGGTACTAATTAAGGCTACAGCAGAGTAATCAATGATTTTTTGATTGCTAATGAAATAAGGAAACCCTTGAAGTCAAATCCACGTTGCTGGGAAGCATGCTACTACATCAGATTTGTTTGCAGCCTAAGCATTTATTTTATGTCAATTTGGACAGCATCTCTACCAAATAAGCAAAAAAATAAAAAAGCCCAGACAATCCTTTTAGCAGTGACAGCTGTTTATCAAGAAGTAAACGATGGATGCAAGCATAGAGAAAGCATGCACTGGCAACAGAGAAATCAAGCTTGAAAAACTACAAATTTAATTTAAATTCAACTGTCACAAAAAGTCACAGCCCAGAGTGAGTCAGATGTTTTTTCTTTCTTTTCTAATTTCATTTCAGACATACTCAGGGATCAAATCACATTCAAACACAATACTGACTCCACTAACAAAAGGGAAAAGGAAGATTTCACAGTTTAAGATGCCAACAGTTTGGAAATAAATCCTATGTCAATTAACACAAAGTGAAGCCTCGTCTTTTTCTTTTTTTTTTTAATAAAAAAGAAAAAATATTTATTTACAACAAAATGCCAGCCTTCGCACAACCCTTTATAGAACAGTTCACTACTGGTGGAGCTGTGTTCGAGACGAAAGACACACATAGCAAACCCCTACTATCAGTACTACCAATTGTAGGCAAAAATAAACTGTATATTTTGATCAAATTCTGCTTTCTGCAAGCACTTGTCTGTTTCAAGTGAAGTCTGTTCTGGATTATCTCATGGAATTAGCTAGTAAAAGAACACAGTGACAGTGGAAACAAAGAATACAATCCAACATTTCATTAATCAGAAAAAACACACTGCACACAGTGCAATTAACTGCTTGGAATTCATCCAGAACTCTCATTAATAGGATTAACATCCTTCTGATGATGATACATGTTCAAGAACTTCTAACTAGCTCAAGAGGTCAAGACTTCGTATTTGTGTACCTCTTATTTAGAAAAAGACTACACTGGCAATCACCAGAAAGCTTCAGCACAAGGCCACACTAAGGCCCTTGTTCAGTAAAGATTCAAAGCCAAATCCACCACGAAGACCTTTCACGTGTAACTTTCTGTATCACAGATGTTACCTGGAAGTCAACAATCAGCACTGCTACAGCTTAACCTGAATCATCAATCAGGAACACCTTAGGAGACTCCCAGAAGTAAATTTTTATGCTCACAACGATTCCTTCCTGAAGGCACTCTATTCAGGTGCACTATTTTTGCTGCCTTTTTGTTGCTTGTTTTGTTGCCTGCTCCCTCCCTGCCTTCCTTTATAATCCCATTCACAGTTCTGGGGTTTGCACTTCAAAGGCAGAAGTTTTTGAAATGTAAAGGGCAGGGGAAGATAAAGTTCAGAAAGGAATGGAAAACATTAACAACAGAGGGCATGTGGAAAAAGAAAGCTTTCATGAAAACACAAGCATCATAAAAGTGGTCTCTGCAATGAAAAGTGAAAAATATGTACAAAAGGGAGACTAATAATATAATTTTTTTAAGCCTTGTGCTTAACTATGAGACAAAGACACCTTTAGATATAGGAAGGATAAGCCACGGCATTCTATTCTAAGCTACACTTCCTATAACAAACAGAATTATTCAAATGCATCACCCTTCACTGGAGGAAAGCATATCCATGGTACACAACAAATTTCTTTCTAACTGCCCCTACATTTGGGAACAGACCAATGGTATTAAGAAAAATGCCTGGAAGGTGCCCGTCATTCTCCCTTTCTTGATGGATCTCTCCACACGTGACACTAGATTCTGAAATAAAGTTTTAATTCCTCAGTTTGTTTTTGAGGTCCAGGTTCATATACCACGGAATCACAGAATGGCCTGGGCTGCAAAGGAGCACAATGCTCATCCAGTTCCAACCCCTGCTGTGTGCAGGTCACCAACCAGCAGCCCAGGCTGCCCAGAGCCACATCCAGCCTGGCCTTGAATGCCTGCAGGGATGGGGCATCCACAGCCTCCTTGGGCAACCTGTTCCAGTGCCTCACCACCTCTGGGGGAAAAACTTCCTCCTAATATCCAACCTAAACCTCCCCTGTCTCAGTTTAAAACCATTCCCCTTGTCCTATCACCATCCACCCTCACAAACAGCCGTTCCCCCTCCTGCTTCTATGCTCCCTTCAAGCACTGGAAGGCCACCATGAGGTCTTCAATAGGTTTTCATGGGCCCACTTCTCCAGCCTGTCAGGTCTCTCTGGATGGCTTCCCTTCCCTCCAGTGCATCGACTGTACCGCTCAGCTTGGTGTCTTATGTAAAACAATTATCAGTTCCAAGCCTGGACATCAATGTAACAAACATAAAATACAAAAGATCAAGCACTGGCCCAAAGCAAGTTGTAATAGCAAATGACACAATATTTATTTGGAAATGTTATTACTAGCATTGTCACAGGATAACAAGATTAGTCCAGAGTAACGTGAGAATTTACTGCTGCAAATTAATACTTCTATACTATTCTACGTTATTTGGACCTGCACACTGTTTGAACTAATAAGTGACTACTAGATAATTACACTCCGTATAACCCACACACAAAATTCTCAACCAGTATCAGAAATCTATCTGCAGTAACACTGTTTCAGTTAGCTGTTACTACAGCAGTCTCCAATTTAACAGTTTTCTGTCTAAATCTCTAATCTACAAGAAGTCATCCCATACCACTTGCTAATCATGTTTCATTTTTCTTAGATTCAAAAGGGGAAAGGATGGTGCAGAAACAGTAAAAGAAGCTTCTATTCTTGCTATCATGCCAGGAAGGACTACAGCAGTATAAACTAATTGGCACTGTTTAGTGTTGGCAGTTGTCACCTGACTAGAAAGTTTGGGTCTGTGGAATATGGAAAGTCTGACACAGGTCTGGAGGCAGCATAATTACAGATGGAAGTACAACAAATGTTTCTGAATAAACTCTTATTCAATGAATTTTGTTCCTAAGGTTTACTTACTCCAAATTCACCAACTTGCATGTGTCAGCCAATTCAGATGTCACTAAAAATGTGACCACATTCTCTCCTGTAAATCTGAGTACCTTCAATTTTGAATACTCCCCATACTTATGCCCTTCCCAAAGAAGATAAAAATGAAGGATTGCTCTGGTAACAGAATGCCCAAATGGCTTATCTGTCACAGTTTCTGACTTACTGGCATGGTAAGTTTAATTGGACAAGTTCTAATGTGCCACTCCTGCTCTCACATTCTTGTAAGTCATTCCTCCATTAAGAATTAAGATCTAAATAATCCAAATTAATCATGTAATGGTATCACATTCAATAGCAAACTTTACAACTCCAGCCAAAAATCTTCATCAATAAATATCTACCAGAATTATTCCCTAAATCCTAACAAAACCAAATGTGTTGATAACATTCACAGCAGACTACAAGACATGCCTTTTCCTCAAATCTCTAGTGAATGAGATTTTCTAACAAAACTCAGATTTCAAACTTGGGCTGTATCTGCTCTATCCTTAAATAGAAAAACAAATCTGAACTTAGAAACATGAAAAATGTGGCTGCTTAACAAACAACACTGTAATGAGAGAGATAAAGAAAAAGAAACATGCTTCTTGTTTATTTCTCTTGTATTAAATTAGAAAAAACAGACGGATCTTGTTCAATCTGTCAGTAGAAATCTGCTAAACTAAAACTCACTACAGCTGGAAACTCACTGATTTTCACGTGCCAACAGAATTTTCTATTTGCAAATACAACTACAGAGAGAGGGCAGAAGACACTGCCGTACAACTCCAGCAGGT